GGCAATGTCGATATCCCAAGCAGCTGATAGTAAATCATTTTGGAGTGGAGTTAAAAAAATAAATCGTGCAGATTACATAAAAGGAATTAAAGTGGACGCCGAAGCTTTGGCGGCACATTTTAAAAACCAGTTAAATAGCAATATAGTAAGCAAGTCTTTCAGTTATGCCCTGCCGTATGTAATAAATGAAGCGTTAGATGCTCCAATAAAGATTGAAGAGGTCTATGCAGTGCTCCAGAATTTAAAAAATAACAAAGCCGCAGGTGAAAACAGAATTCCAGCTGAGTTTTTAAAATATGCCACGCCACAATTTATAGAGCATATGGCTGAATCATACAATTATATATTTGAAAATGCAGCCCCACCTGATAGTTACAAAAAAGCCATAACATTTCCCCTATTTAAAAAAGGTGACCCAAATAATGTAGCAAATTATAGAGGAATAGCATTTCTTAATACATCAGCTAAAGTCTTTACAACACTCCTGTATAACAGAATTAAAAATTGGGTTGATCAAAATAACATATTAAGCGAATTTCAAGCTGGATTTCGAAAAGGTTACTCCACGGTAGATAATATTTTCGTCATCACTAGTGTAGCGCAAGAGTTTATTGCAAAAAGCAAGAAGTTATATGTTTTTTACGTAGATCTTAAAGCTGCTTTCGATACAATACAAAGAAACGTACTATTTTACAAACTAAGCCAGCTGGGTCTTTCAACAAAAATTTTGAAAATACTGCAAAGTCTATACTGCAACAATGAGTCAACAGTATGGGACGGAAGAAGTACATCGAGATGGTTCCAAACGTGTACCGGAGTGAGACAAGGTTGTGTCTTAAGCCCTATATTGTTTGCACTGTTCGTTGATGACTTAAGTAACTTTCTTTCTGGTGGTGTTACGATTGCCAATATGTGCCTAAAAGTACTATTATATGCTGACGATATTGTGTTGTTTGCAGATTCTCCAATAATGTTACAAAATATGATAGATGAATTAAATAGATATTGCAACTTATGGGGACTATCTATAAATACAGACAAATCAAAAGTGATGGTATTTAGGAAACATGCTAGAAGATTGAGAAATGATGAAAAATGGTACCTTAACGATGATCAATTAGAAGTGGTTAATAATTATAAATATTTAGGAATAAATATGAAATATAACGCAAAATTCGATAACCACTTGAACGAGAAGTTAAAGGAAGCTAAATTGGCTATTAATTGTACCTAGATAAATGTCTTAGGAAATCCAAAAGTGTCACTGCTCGTAAAATACAAAGTTTTTGAAGCCACAGTTAAGTCAGTTCTAAATAATGCAGCGCAAATCTGGGGTGTTGATAAATATGACGCAGTAGAAAAATTGCAGACATTTTATATAAAGAGAACGTTTCGTTTGCCGAAAAATACCCCAAATTATATGGTGCATTTAGAAACTGGTCTACCGACGCTATATACCCAAACATTAAAATTGCATTTTGATTACATAAATCGTGTTAGGAATTTGCCAGACAATAGGATTCAAAAAACATTAGCGCAGTACCTAATAAATGAAAAAACATTATTTTTTGAAAAGTGGTCAAATCTGCCATCCGAGTTAAATATAACTAATGATTTGAGTATTAATGAAAACTGGAAAATGTGGCAAAAAAATATAATAACGAAACTAAGTATTGAAGAACGTAGAAATTTTGTAGAAACGGCAAGAAACAGTATATCGAGAGATGCATATAGTAAGTTGAATTATGATCTAGGTGTCAATAATTGCTTTCACGAGTAATATGACCTAGAAACAATAAGGACAATCTTCAAAACCCGCGGCGAGCTCCTACGATTGTGCTACGTACCGCATGAAAGTCTAGACACGCTGTGCACGATATGCAACCTTAAATTGAAAGGCGATGTTATACACTTAGTAGGTGAATGCCCAATTTTTAAAGAACATAGGTTGCTGTACTTCGGTAAACCCGCGCTCGATGTCAATGAAACCATACGGTTACTGAATGGCCCCAACTGGAGATTGTTAACGGCGTTTATTAAAACTACATTTAAATATAGGCAAAATATTATTAATGAAGACTTTTAAATTAACTTATATAAAATCTATTATTTTTGTTAAAGTAATTTAATTTAATTTTTATGTTGTATTGAGCTCATAAGCAAGAATACCTATTTAATATTTATAAAAATTGGATTAATTAGTTATTAGTTAATTAGCTATTAGATTAATCTAAATTTCCGGCAGACGGCTAAAATGCCATAGCTATAAGCTTTATGTATATTTATTATAATTATATGTATTATAATTATTATATAACTTCGATGTAATATAATAACTTTAAAATGAAGTAAAAATAAAGCTACTACTACTACTACAAAATATCATTATGCGCTTTTATTGATTTCGCATAAATAAGGAAATCATCTAAATAAATTATAACTCTAATATCATTAAAAAGACGAACCATTTCTCCATGGAATATTTCTGGTGCTGCGTTGATACCAAATGGTAGAAGTAAAAATCTAAATCGACCAAAAGGAGTGTTGAAAGTACACAACTTTGAAGAATTTTCATCCAAGGGCACCATCCAGAATCCTGAACTTGCGTGCAGAGAACTGAAAACTTTTGAACCAGCCATCTTCGACCTACACTCATCTAAATTAGGAAATGAAAATCTTGGCCTCACAATAGCTTTATTTAAATTACGAGGATCTAAGCATAAACGGATATTGCCATTTTGCTTAGTAACTAACACTATTGAACTGACCCACTCAGTTGGTTCAGAACTTCAGTAATAACTTCTAATTCCATCATTCTTTGTAACTCTTTTTTAAGTGGTTCAAGTAGACTAAAGGGCACTCTACGTTGTACATCAACAACTGGTGTACTATTGTCTCTGATTTCCAATTTACACTTATTTTTGAGCTGACCAAGACCATTGAACACGTCTGAATATTTACCAAAAATGTCTAATTCGTTACAATTGTTTATTTCTACTTTATTATTACAACTTACTGCGTTTACTATTTTAATTAGATTTAACTCAACTGCTAAGTCCAGACCCAGAACATTATTACACTGCATATCGACCACATGAAAAATAGCCTTTTGTCTAATATTGTTAAATAACAAATCCACATGAACCTTTCCTATTATAGGTAATTTTTCACCACTAAAAGTTCTTATATTATTAAAAAATTTTTCTAATTTAATATTATTAAGTGTATTAAAAGTAAATACCGACAATAAGTTTGTTTCCGCTCCAGAATCTACCTGGCAGTTCACTTTTACACCTTCTATACTGACATCAACATTCCATAATTTATTTTGTGCAAAAAACTTGTTTAAGTTTTTGCTCATTGTTCCAACAAATAAATCGTCATCAAATAATTTTGTTTCTTCAGACACGTTTTTTATATATCGGCTTTTACGGTACTGTTGTTGTTGTTGCTGCTGCTGCTGCTGCACTGATGAACGACTAAAGCACATTTTTGCATAATGATTTGGCTTTTTACATATATGGCAAATCACTCCATCGGCCGGACATTTGAATTTATGTAATTGGCCACACTTTTTACACTCTTTTTTACTATGTTTTTGTTGTACCGAAACGGGTCTTGCAATCCGTTGTTTTTTTAGTTTTTTAGCCCAGCAATCACGTTTTCTTTGACTGTTGTTGCATTTTCTCGTGAAATTTCAATGTTTTTTGCTATTTCCAAAGCTTTACCCCATTTAATATCACCTTCACTTAAAAGACGTTCTTTGATATGTTTAAAGTTGAGGGAATAGCCACAAATAAATATATCTCTAACCAAATCTTCACGCAGATCTTTAAACTCACATGTAGTACTCAAGTTTTGTAGCGCTGTTGCGTATTCGCTTATAGTTTCTTCTGAGTTCTGTTGGCGCGTAAAGAATTTGTACCGTTCCATAGCCACGTTAGCTTTTGGAATAAAGTATTCACTGAACTTTTTTAACACATTTTCTAATTTTACTTCTTCTATATCCATGTTAAATAAATTAAAAATGTCAATACAATCTGCCCCCAAGTGGTGCAGTAAAAGTGCAACTTTGCGACGTTCTTGTTGTTCTTCTAAATTCGTTGCAAGCATAAAAATATGGAACTGCTGGAAAAATTTGACTATTTCCACTCATTTTATTATGTTTAATTTCCTTTTCTATTTCTTTTTCATCACCTGACACCATGTTATATTTTATATAACCAACTGAGTAATATATTTATATATATATACGTAAAACGATATGTCTTTTACTTTTGACAGCCTGACTTCGACTGACTCTTTATTTATTCAATATATAATATGTATTACAACTAATAATCACAGAGTTGTAATTATACTACTTAATTATACAACAATCAGTACATTATCGGCACAATTTTAAATTTCCGTCATTTAGAACGCAACTTAGGACGTGTGCGAGTTAGGATAAGTGGCGTTTTAAATGAGGGAAATTCTAAGTTATGCCGATAATGTAGTGATGTGTCGATACATGTTGATAAATGGCTAGATGTGTGCAGTGCAAAAAATCTTCCATTTGGTTTAGCATCAACTTAGGTCGTGTGCGAGTTAGGCTAAGTTGCGTTCTAAATGAGGGAAATTCTAAGTTGTGCCGATAATGTAGTGATGTGTCGATACGTGTTGATAAATGGCTTAATGTGTGCAATGCAAAAAATCCTAAAAAATCTCCCATTTGGTTTAGCATCAACTTAGCCTAATACTATGTTCAGACAGCCAAATTTCCTTAGTTTCGGAAAAATGAAACTAAGTTAGTTTCGAAAGTGTTCATACTGCCCAAATTAAGGAAATCATATGTTTTTTGTTTACATATGGAATTACATGCTCAAAACACTATTTGTATTTGAAATATTTAAATATTTGATATTGAAATTAAAAAATTTGATTTTTGAAATAAAACAGAAATAAATAAAATATATAATATACAAAAAATAAATAATAATATGGAATTCTTATTAAAATATATTTTTCAAAATATTTGCCATCGTCAAACTACTGCAAATATAATAAGTAGCGCCTTAGACAATGATTTACAATTGGTGAAGCAAAACATTGTTACTTTACATCAACAAATGGAGGACTGTTATAAAGCTTTACTACTTGGAACAACGTCATCTGTACCAAGACCATTTTGGAAATTTGTAAATATATCATCGTACATTGAAATGATGTTATTTAATTTTTTTTTTTAGAACCGGCAATCAGCATTTTGGAACATGTGCTGTCACACGGAAGATGTTTTTAAAACACATTTTCGTATAACTCGAAAAAGTTTTTCAGTTCTGTGTGAGTTGTTAAAATCTTTTCAAAAAAAGGACACTAATTGGCGTAAAGCGGTTCCTCTTGACAAAAGAGTCGCAATTGCTTTATGTGCGTTAGGATCTTCAGGGGAATACAGGGTAGTGTGTGAATTATTTGCCGTTGGCAAATCTACAGTATGCACTATTGTATTGGAATTTTGCAGTATTGTATGGGAAGTGATGTCACCTACATATTTAAAAAGATTTCCATTAACACAAGAAACCGTGGCAGAATGCGTAAAAGGTTTTGAACTTCTCGGATTTCCACAATGTTTAGGAGCCCTTGGTATGTACTTATAAATTTAAATGTAAAAGTGTTTAATAATAATTTTATTTAGATGGATGTCATATTAAAATACGTCCAAACTCAGAGGATGCAGTTGATTATTACAACTATAAAGGATGGCACTCAATAGTTTTATTAGCTTTAGTGGATTTCAGGTATGTGGATTATTATTTTTCACTCTATTTTAAACTAATACCATTTAATAGGTACCGTTTCATGTACGTTAATGTGGGAACTCCTGGACGTTGTAATGATTCGTATATATTTGAAACATCCAACTTGAAAAAGATGTTAAATACGTGCAACTTATTAAGGAAAAATAAGAAAAATATATGCAACTTGGATGTGCCAGTATATATAATAGCAGATTCGGCATTTAGGCTAACCCAAACTTTAATGAAACCATATCCATTTAATGTTGATATGCCGCTTGTAAAAAAAAATTATAACTACAAACTTTCGAAATGTAGAAGGGTTGTTGAAAATGCATTTGGACACTTAAAAGCACGATTTCGACGAATAGGAAAGGGTTTAGACAATAGAATTAATAATGCAAATATTATTGTGAGTGCTTGTTGTGTGCTGCACAATTTTTTAAATGAAAACAACGACCACATTAATGCACAATGGTTAAAAGAGCTGAAAAATATTGATAAAAACCAACATCCTGACCAACACCCCATTATTTTTGATATGGAACCTATTGCAGAAGAAATAAGACAAGCTGTTGCAACTTACTTGAGTATGTATATATTTATTTATTAACTAAAAAATTATTTAACATATATTAACTTAATTTTTAATTATTTACGTCTTATTAAAGTAATGATTAGATTACTTATTAACTAAAAAATTATTTAACATATTTGAACTTAATTTTTAGTTATTTACATTTTATTAAAATAAAAATTAGTTACTTTTTTGAACTTTTATTATTTACATTTACTTATTTTTGTTTTTTTAAAAAATCTAGAAAAACATCTTTCAGTTCTTTAGAATCTTGAACAAATTCATGAAGTTCTTCAGTTTTTTTTTTTGATTCTTGAAGCAACTCTCTTTCAGTTTGCTTTATTGATTCTAAAGAACTTGATAATTTTTCATATGAATTTTTCAAGGTATTTAATACCTCTTCCTGAAAATAATTCAATCGTTTTCTTCTTTTAGGCTGTGGTGATGATATTGCAGTCGATGATGAGGTGGTAGGCACTTCTGATAATATTGGTGGCAATAATGTTGACATAGGGGATGATGACATCGCCATTTCCTCCTCCAGATATTCCTCATGAAAGTCTGCATCTAAAATATTGGAAAAACCGTTAAACATTAAAGATAAACATAATAAAAATAACAAATAAATAACAGATTGCATGAATAATTTATTTTTTAATATTTATTTACCATCAATACTTTCTATTTGAAGTTGTTTGATGTTTTCACTTTTGAAGCCACCTATTATTTTTTTCACCCGTTCATAATAGACCCATCTAGAGGGTGAACCACCAGAAGGGCCAATTTTGCAATTTTCCTTTCTTTAAATTAAAAATTAAATATTATTATTATCTTCATTACGTTAATTCCAAATACCTGAATTTTGAGGTCATGTTATTTATTTTCGTTTGCACTTCTTTGGGGTTGTGCATAAACCCGAGTTGATTTAATGCATCGCTGATTTCTTTATGCACATGTCCGTTCTTGCGTGCACCACGAAAGCCTTCCATATTGCACTCCCAAACCTCCAAAAGTGCATTTTCTGCTGCTTGGGTCCAACCGTACCTTTTTTTATAACTCTTCTTCTCCATCGCCAATTCTTAACTGTTTAAATTTTATTCAAAATATTTTCCCGGTTTTGTTAAAGTCAGCTGTTTTTAAAAATACATGTCACTTTTTCGTTATCTCAATGTTATCTTTTGCTTAAAAGTTGTTATTAACATAGTTGCATTTGAAAATTCCCTTAGTTTCATGCTTCGTTTCAGCGAAATTAAGGCTATTTTCCTTAGTTTCGTTTTGACATTGAAACTAAGTTGTGTATGGAAAAAACAACTTAGTTTCGCTGAAACGAAGATGAAACTAAGATTTTTACGAAACTAAGGTGTGTCTGAACAGCATATAACTCGCACACGTCCTTAGTCTAACTCGCACACGTCCTTAGATGTTTAAATTTCAAACATCTTTATATTTTTTCAAAGGATTATCGAAGATAAATTATTAATTAAAAATAATACAATTTATTATTGTATATATATATATGTATATATAGATCGTGTGTGAGTTATACCATGTTTTTCATCACGAACTTTGCTGGCTGGAATCGACTTTGAGCTCAAAACCAGCAACCAAAGTCGATTTTGCCATATAAAAATAGGCACAACAAAACTCGAACTTTAGTCGAAAGTTGGCTTCATTTAATACCTTTTCCTGAATAGAGTGCTGAATTTAATGCGTTATCGATAAGTTTTGAGTATGAAAATGGCGAAAGGACATTTCGTTTTGTTTACACTTTTGTTTGTTTACATTTGTATTGACGTGTGCTTATAAGATATATGTAAGTAAATTTTTTGTTCAGCAAAATATTAAATCCTGTGTTACAGATTAGTAAAGGCTATGCATTTTTCTGTTGCCATATTTAACACTGCTCCCACAGGTCACTCGTTACGTCTCTTATCATTTCCACTAGTCATTGAGGAAGGTCTGGGAAAATTAATGCGTTGTCTCAACATCTGTTGCAATCTGTATGGCTTCAGATAATGTCGATATCCTGGCTGCTATAACCACATTTCTTATCTTCTCATTCAACCCATTTGTGAATGTACTGAGGCCTAATTGATCTGTCATTTTTAGTATGACATCTCTATTCTCATCTCCTTACTCTGAAATGTATATTTGATTAAGCATTGCTATTTGTTCTTCTATTTTTAAAGCATATTGAGCAATCATTTGTATGCCTTGACGCATTCTAGTAAGATTGTTTTGTATAATTAAGGGATTGGCTTTTGGTTTGTAAATTGTGTTTAGCTTCTTAATAAAATTTTTTATTGTGTCATCTTCTTCACTTGCAACCAATTTATTTTTAACTCGATCAGAAAGTTTAGTTGATCTTACAAAATTTAGTAGAATGGTTCTCTCTACTTCATCCTTCAACGAATCTGAGTAGAATTGCAAAGTACCGGTAAATTTAGATAGACTCTTTACATTTCCATTAAATTCAGGAATTATTTTTGAAGCTGTTAACATGTCAAAATTAGCCATTTTATCAAGTTTTGATATTGCACTGTCGCTAATCTGTTCTGATTTGTTTTTTTAAATATTTATTTATTTCATCTACTATTGTGTCAAACTTCGTTCTTACTAATTGTAAATATTTTATGTCAGTATTTCTTTCTATTTCTAACCAAATTTGTTTTATATAATTCTTAGTTATGCTAATATATCTATCAGTATAAGTTCTTTTCGGATTTTTCTTTAGATTAGATAATATATGTTTTAAATCTGTCAAATCCATTTAAAAATTTATCTAAATTTAAATATTTTTATTAATACATATAATAATATTATTGTTATTATGATTATTGCTATTAATATTATAGCAGTTATTTCTATGTTTTTTATTATTAAAATATCGCTTCTAGAATACATTATTTTTATATAAGTTTTTATTTATTAAAAAAAATTTTTCTTTTTTTTTTTACAATATCTATATAACACTATACATTAATATTTCTTAGTGCTTGCTTTTTTATATAATTTTTAAAATGAGAATGTATTTTATTCAGTAATAATATAATTAGTATAATAAATGTTAAATATATTATAGTGCTAGTGCTATCAGTGTTGATTGTTGTTGCTGCTGCATTATTATTGTTTATGACCTCCTCTTTGGTCTGTGTGCCACCCATTCTGAATTAACTCTTGCAGTTGTTGTTGCAAAATAGCTCTATTTTTGCCTTCTGCTAATTTTATTAATTTTTTTAGCTCTCCTTTTTCTCTTATAAACCTTCTCTTTTGGCCACCTCTTTTCTTTTGTGGTCTATTATGCTCTTCTACTGTTATTTCCTTGGTTCTTCCACCAGGATTTCTTCTACGATATTCTTCTAATGTTATGGGTTTTGGACCCGCTTCTGGATTGTTTAAAATTGCTTGTTGTAAAGTTTTCACAATTTTTGCAAATGTGTCATCAATTTCTTGTTGTGACATTTCCAGTTTTATTTATTTTTTTAAGAAAAATTTTTAAAATTAAATCATTTGCAAAATCAATAATGTACTGGTGTGTACTCAAATGTTTATTTAGTTTTTTTTTTGTGTGGAAACTTTTACCACAAACAAAACAATTATAACTTTCCATTCGTAGAATTAGAAGATGATTAGTTGATTAGATCCGTAGTGGGCAGGCTTCTTGTTATTTAATTGCTTTAGAGGATTTGAACTGCTTTAGAGGATTTGAACTGCTTTAGAGGATTTGAACTGCTTTTAGAAGTTTTGAACTGCTTTTAGAAGTTTTGAACTGCTTTTAGAAGTTTCGGTCCGTCAGGGGCAGGATCGCCATGTTATGATGTTAACCTGGTAGGTTCGCCATGTAATGATTATTGATCGCAATGTAATGATATGTGATGATTTAACAGGATCACCATATGTAAAGATGTTGTATTATTGCTATGTAATGCTATTCTACCATTGCCATATAATGGTTATTGCAGGATGTCAGAATCATCAATATATATATTAGCAGGTTTGCTGGATTAGGTCTTCTTGATTAATAATATTTAAATCCTGAAATAATTAAAGGATCTCCTATCGACCAATAAGAGTGGAAACGACCTATCAGATTATTGTTGAGTATTACTAAGCTCTTCAGCCGCTTAATGTTCTTTCAGCATCTAAATGCCGCATAGAACACGATTCAAATAAAAGACGTAGCCTTGTCTTAAGTTAAATTGAATCTATTTTATTATCAAAAATTATGGGTATTTATACTTATTCTAGCTTATTTACTAAACAATTATTATTTACTTTTCGATTGATTTGAGTAACCAATCAATGCATTGGTTACTCCCATAAATTACATTAATTGTTTTATTACATTAATTTTATAAACAAATACTCTTCTAACGCATTACAATAATACGTCATATATTGTTTTTAAAGAGTTAATGCACTTTCCAGAATTTAGGTCGGAATAGTGCAATGACCATACGTGCTTATCATGTCTTATGTTACAAATGCATATTTGTAACAGCATGAGTCAAACTATTTCTTTTAAGTAATATGATCAAAGTCAAAGCGTCAAACAGACAAAAGTGCATATTATAATTTATGACACATTTATTTTGTCTGAATGAACAGTGGCTTGTCACATATGATATTAACGTAGGTCATGGGCACTACAATATTATAAATAATATTCATAGTGATCAGACGTGTTTTTTTTTTGTGTGCGAATTTTTTCTTATTTATTTATTTATTTTCTTTCTACTCGCGCCTAAGCTTTTTATACTTAAGCCTTTTTTTTTTTGTTTGTTACACGTTTTATTATATATCTGCATTAAATCGGTAGTTGCATAATTAAAACGCAGTTAAACTTGTGTGTTTTACAAATATGGCCCCTGGGCCTCCCCTCATAGGGGGAAATAGGCTTGCACTCTTGGCAGATGGTCCCCAATCGAAGAAAAAACGATCGAATGTTAAAACAATTACAGACTTTCCCGGACTTCCAAAAATTCAACTGCCTTATCCAAAATATGTTGTTGTTGCCTCTGCCAACGATCTAAGATCTTTATCTGAGTTCTCTTGTTTTGCGGTGCAAAAAGCTCTATACGTTTTAAGTAAAAAAATTATATCGATTTCTGAACTAAGAGATGGTAACCTGTTGTTATTAGTCAAAGACATGTCTACTGCACAAAAGTTTATATCAGCTAAAGATTTATTAACTATTTGCCCAATTAAATGCTTTCTTCATAAGCAATTGAACACAACAAAAGGAACTGTATACGCACCGTATTTAAATAAAATGTCAGAAGAAGAAATAGTTAATGAGCTGAGTTCGCAGGGCGTAGTTGAATGCTACAAGTTCCCTAAAATGATCGAAGGTCAGTCCCATCCTAGCGGAGTTGTTTTACTATCTTTTAACACATTTACTTTGCCCGAAAAAATTGAAATCTCTTGGCGTTCCGTTGATGTGCGTGAGTATATACCAAACCCAATGCGTTGCAAATCGTGCCAGGTTCTTGGTCATACTGCCAAAAGATGCCGAAACGCTCCAGCTTGTGTAAATTGCGGTTTGCCCCCTCACGCCCCGTTTGACTGTTCCCGTACATTTTGTGTTAATTGTTCAGAACAGCACCCAGCCTCTTCTAAAGAGTGTACTAAATTTTTTCAGCAAAAAGAGATATTAAAAATTAAAACAAAAAATAAATGTACAATGCTGGAAGCAAAACAACTATATAAAGCACTACCTTCAGTCGATATCTCCAGCAACAGTTTCTCTTCTGTGGTTTCATCTGGCATTAATAAAACACCGCAATCTAATAATGTTTCAAAAAATACAATTACAACAACACTCTCTACAAGCTCTCCAGTTAAATCATCAACTTCGAAAGTGCAATCAAGAGACATAATAAATAACAATAACAAAAATATTAACTCTTTCTCTTCTTCGAGCTTACGTTCTACAAGCACACCATCTTACATCAATTCTTCCAGTACAAGCAGAATTAATACAAACAACGATGGAGAAAAAAAACAAAATTTGGAACCGGTCTCTCGTTCAACTATTGGTACTCATAAACCTGCAGTCTTAGAAGAAAGTAACTCTTTAATACACGATCTTAAATCAAATATTTCTACAACAAACACAATAATTGGAACTATCCCTAAATTTAGAAAAAAGCCCTCTACTAGTCAAGATTCTCTTACTAGAACAGATAGTGATGTAGTTTTAAGCGATGATGAAGTGCAAAAAAAACTCGACAAATATAACTTAAAATATAAAAATTAGAAACATAAAAAACAATGTTTATTCGCTATAGTTTATTTTTTTATTTTTTGCACAAATTTTATTTTATTTTATTTTTTCTTTTTAAAATAGATTATTTTCTTTTTATTTCACTTTTTTATGTCGTTAAAAATACTTCAGTGGAATATTAAAGGCTATATAAATAATTATCTTGAACTAAAACTTTTAATCAAAGATATAAACCCGGATATTATTGCTCTACAAGAAACTCATATAGCTTTCAACAGAAATAATATAATAACACCTAAAAATTTTGTGGGATAGTTTCACAACCTTCCCATAAATACTACAGCCAAACAAGGCATAGGAATTTTAATATAAAAACATATTCCACATAAACATATATACTACAACTCAAATATTTGTTCAATGGCCATTACAATTAATGCAGGTTTTGATTGTAACATTATTAATTTATATATTCCGCCTCAACAATTAATCTCAGCCTTTGATATTAGAAATTCTTTTAATAATATTAATACTCCTTTTATTGCTACAGGAGATTTTAATGCCTGGAGTCCTTTATGGGGTTCCAATGTATGCAACAGCAGGGGTAAAATTATTGAAGATGTAATTTTAAGCGAAAATCCCGTTATTTTAAACGATGGGTCTCCCACACATTTTTCTACTCGCAACACGTTTTTTCACATAGATCTTACAATGTGTTCAGCCGCCCTCACACCTAAATGTGCTTGGAACATACTTCAAAATCTGCACGGCCATTTCCCTATTGTAATTAGCTTACTATCAAATCTCCAATATGATAAATTTAAGCCAAGACTAAAGTTCAAAATCGATTTTGCGGATTGGGACAAATTCCAACAACTTTGTAAACAAAACAATAACAAATTCAATATAGTAGACGATAATAATAAAGAAGCAGCCAATTTGGCTAAAATTATTAGATCTGCAGCAAATATTGCGATCCCACAGACAAAGCCATCATATGTTAAATCCAAAATACCATGGTGGAATTCCAATTTACAACACTTAAGAAACGAAAAACAATTTTATTGGGAAAATTTTAAAAGATTTAGGTCCTATTCTAATTTAGTTTTGTATAAAAAGGCCAACGCACTATTTAGAAGGCAAGTCAAAGCCGCAAAATCTGAAAGCTTGGAAAAGTAGACATCCAAAATATACCCAAATTCAAGTACAAAAAAGATTTGGGCTGACATAAATAGGCTAACAGGCAGATACAATAACACTATAATAAGTTCCATTAACACCGGCTCAAATCTCCTGACGTTAAGTAAAGATATTGCAAATTTTTTTGGTATAACCTTGTCTAATTTCTCCAAAGATTGTCACTTTTCTCAACAATTTATAACTAATAAAAGTTTTTTCTTTCAGTATGATTATAGCCGTACATCATTATCTGCCGCGGCTAAGAAAATCGAGATTGATATTACAATAGTTGAATTTAGTAGCGTCATTTGCAAGGTTAAGGGAAAAACCCCGGGTTGCGATCGTATATCATACCCCATGTTACTTAATCTTCCAACAATCCTAATAAATAGATTAATCAAATTATACAATAACATTTTGATATTGGATAGAGACTTACGTAACAGTCGGATGTGTTTTGCACTCGCTCCTATTTAAGTGAAAAATAGTAAAAAGTATCAAACGTTCAGCGTCGGAAATTAAAAGAAAAAAACGAATAAGCGGAAGTGAAGGTTGGAACAATAAGTTGCGGTTCGAATTCAAATGCATAAAGTGATTAAATCAAATAATAGTTTTTTACAACTTAAAGCATCCAATTTGCGCGCGTTTTTGCTTTCTTTTTAATAAAATAAATAAGGCGCTCTTTTGTGGATCATATATTAATAGCCAAATAAGAGTAACTTTTTTTTTTTTTTTGTTTTATTTTTAAAAAAAACGTAATAAAAATCTGATAGAGACAGTCCTACAATTAATTATATAAATAAGACAAAAATAGCTAAGCAAATTGTTGACAGAGACAACTAATAAACATTTAATAGTAAAAAATTTGATATATATAGTTTATGTAATGCAAGTAAAATAACATAGAGTAAACAAAATAAATTTAAGTTAGTTGGTACACAAACCATATATTTTCGAACTAAGGGTTAATCGTAAATCTATCTGGCAAAATAAAAACATTGCATAGTTTTAAGGTAATTTTACAAATTATTTAAAAATAATAAAATTTTGTCAATTAACACAATCATGCATCGTACACCATCGAAGAACGTGAAGACAGCATATAATCCGTCGGCTAAAAGGATGTTAGCAGAAACCTCACCTGAAGATGGACCGAATTGCTCAAATTATACTCTTAAAGTAGGCGACCTAAGTGTAAACCAATTAAAAGACATAATTAAAGATGGTAACAAGGAAATTTTAGAAAAAATTTCCTACCTTTCCGAGGATGTTATGGCGCTAAGGCAAGAAAATGAAAGTCTAAAAAAAGAAGTGGAAAATCTCAAAGCATATAGGGCCTTAGATAGTAAAAGGATCTCTACACTTGAAACACAAGCAAAAAAGAAAAATCTAATATTCAAAGGTCTACTGGCGAACAAAGCAGTAGGTGAAGAAGTAGAAAAAATTTGCACTGATATTCTTCAAGTTTCGTCATCAACAAAAATAAAAGATGTTAAAAAAATGTCGGAAAAAGACGGTAAAATGACCATTCTAGTAGAGATGGATACTGAACAAAACGCAGTAGATATACTGAAAAAAGCTGGTAAGCTGGCAGGGACAGCAATATTTGTGGAACGGGACTTGACGTTCGAAAAACAGCAGAATAAAAGAATTATGCTGGAATTAAAGAAGCAAATACTGCAAGTAAGTACCAAACACCGCGTTGCCGTTAGAGACGATAAAATACGGATAGGAAATAAATGGTTTAGGTGGGACAGAAATAACAAGTTAATGAACGATAATGAAGATGCGGGTCCTGCTTTGCAAATTTTATATGGTACTAAGGTAAAAAATATATGTACGAATTATATTGAACTGCTCAATAAAATAAATCCAAAAAACTAGTAAATATTTCGGAAAGCTTTTGCACAGTAAAAAAATGCCAAACAACACAGCCAAATAAAATTAAAAAAGTTTCTAAAATTAAACATTCCGTAGATTTCAATAACGAGTCAGCATTACAGGGCAGCTTTAATCTGAACATATTATCATATAATGTAGCCGGTCTAAAAAATAAAACCTTACACAGCCAATTTTACGAATATATTTGTTCATTCGATATTATATTTTTATTTGAAACATTTTTAGAAGAAAAATTAGAAGAAGTAGTAAGAAAGTTACATAATTATATTATAGAATGGATACCTGCTAAAAGAACAAATATTTGCGGTAGAGCTAGTGGAGGTGAACTATATGCAATAAAGAAGCAAACACATTTTACAAATAAAGCTAACTTTATCGAGTCCGGTAGAAGAACACTTGTTAAATTAACCACGACTAACGGAAGCCTGCACATTGTGCCTGTATATATAAACTGCAATAACTGGGAAAGCGATTTTGAAAACTTTCATGATTTCCTCACAGATGCTGGACTAGAAAATATTATGATTGTTGGTGATCTTAACGCAAAAATTGGTGATAAGCAAGTTTACGAACATAATCCGTATACGCTGCAGATGCTAAGAGAAAGCAGAACTTCGAGGGACAGTATATGCGATAATAAGGGGAAAAAACTGTGTGAAATGTGTGAAAATTTCGGCCTATCTGTAGTAAATGGCAGAACAGATAGCGACAGCTTCGGTGAATTTACTTATGTAAGAAATAATGGTCGTTCTGTAATATATTACTGCATAATTAAAGGACTATGGTGGCAATTAGTCAAAAACTTTAAAGTTGTCGATTTAATTTACTCAGACCATATGCCAATAGAAGTAAATGTCTCGGGTCAGTTTTTCAGAAACCCAGAACAGGTGGAATTAAAATTACTCCCCAAGCTGTTATGGTCAGATCGAAATACACATAAGTTTGCGCTAAATTTAGAGCACAAGTTATTTTTAATGGAAGACAACCAACTAACAGCTGAAAATGGAATTGAATTGTTATCTCATTGCATTAAAAGAGCGGCACAACCCTTACAACCAAAACACTTACAAAGAAAATATAAGCAAGCATGGTATGATGCAGAATGCGAGTCAGCACGAAAGCGATCATTTTATTTACTTCACACTGCAAAACGGCATGAAGAAGTGGAACTCCGACAGTTATATGTATACACGTGCAAATAAAGAGTTTAAATTACTTTGTAAACGTAAAAAAAATTTATATTACTCGGAGTTAGCTAACTCCTTAAGATCAGTTAATGATAGCAAAACGTATTGGAATATGTTGCGAAAATTAAATGGACAAAAGTTCACCAAAAGTACAGAGTTAAATTCTACCCAGTTGTCATGTTACTTCTCAACGCTATTGAATGCTCAAGTTGGGTATGCATTTAGTTTCGCTATATCAAATATTAAAATAGATTTGTTGGATAATGTAATCACTACAGAAGAAATTAATAAAATTTTAAGGAACAGCAAGTCAAATAAAGCGCCGGGAGAAGACAGAATCCCCATAGAGTATTGTAAAGATATATATATATATTACTTATCATACTTGCGTCTAATTGGTTAACCCAAATTAGACGTATATACTATTCTTACAAACATAACTTATCAATAAATGGTGTACTATTAACAAATGCAATTGTTCCACATATGGTTTCACTTGAAACCGTCTATTCTATTGACACAGTTTTGACTTATGCATATTGCACATATGGTGCAATGTGCGGCTCAGTTATTTGTCATCAAAGAAATGACAAAATAAAGGCTCATATTACTTGACAATAGTTTGTCATAAATTTTATCAAAATAGAACTGTGTCAATGTTTACTTTAAAATAAGTGGAACAATTGAATGTTTTGTGATAT